CCAAGGCTTCTACAGGTTAAAATCACTCCTTAATTTCACCCCAATAAATTAATTTAAAAATTTGTATATAAGTGGACCTTCGGAGCTCAAACCCGTGTTGTTCAGGGGTCAGCTATCCCAGCTGCAAGCATTCTGGAGCCAGCTGGGTAAGAGGACTAAGAAGCTCTATTTTCATTATTTCCCTTGACATCTATAAACTTATCCTCAGTTGTACCTGGTGCTGCCCAGTTCACGGAGTTTCTTATTCATACTCTGGCTTAGGTAAAAGAGTACTGGTTATCAGGTTGCATGGAGTTCCAAGTGCTTCTTAAACCAATTTTCAACTAATGCTCTCTGTTTTGTTTTGTTTTTTTCTTTTAGCTGAGCCATCCTGCCACCTGTTGGCAGCTCAGCTCGGGCTGGACTCGAACCGCTGTTGCTCAGAGCTCAAACGTTTGAGAGAGCTCTTAACCAACTGAGCCACTCAGCCGGCCCATAACGCTCTCCTTTTTAACCTGCCTTTCCCACCACTGCCAGAGATACTTTGCTCCACCAATTCTGGAGCCTTTGGGGAGTTGTACAGAGTAAATAAGGATGCTTCTTATCATTCCCCACAGCTAATTTAAGGTTTACTACTGAGAAAGCAATCTACTTTGTATATTTTTCAGCTTTTCATATTTCAAAAATGTGTTACTGTTGTTCTTTAGTATATTCTTTTCATTCTTAAGTGTTTGTTCCCTTGAAGCTTACTTTATTAATGTTTTATGGGTTTCTGGAAGAATCCAAATATGTGTGCAATTTACTATCTTTATGTGGAAAGCCCCCTATTGTAATCACTGATAATTTTATCTGTTTTTTCATTCCTATATCTTCAGTGCCTAGAATAGTGCTCAGTCCATAGAAGTAACTTAGTAACTTTGGAGGGTGTATATGTAATAGTGAGTGTGTGAATAAGCCTCCCAGGAGGAAATTAAATATTCATAGAATGAGATTGCCTGTTAGGATTGGAAATTCCTTCAGTAGCATGTGGAATTTCTAAAATCTAATAAAGACAAAGCCACTATTTATATTATAATATTGGAATGTCGGAAAAGTCATGATGCATTTTTGCAACAAATGTTGCTAGTTCGGTTTTTTTGGAAGTACCAGAGTCATTTGCATCTATGTTATTGCTATGTCATTTGACAGCTGACAGTTCTAACTTCATTCTAAAAAACAACAGAGAGATTTGGTTGAGTTTTGGAGATTTTACAAGTTGAAGATGGAAGACCAAACTGTGCATTTTCGCCGTATTTTACTGTTTTACTTCCATAAAGGGAAGAACGCGAGTCAAGCTTGTGAAAAGTTGCATAAAGTTTACGGTGACAATGCTCTATAAGAACATCAGTGCCAACGATGGTTCACGAAACTCCGTGCTGGTGATTTTGAGCTCAGCGACGCTCCTCAGTCAGGGAGGCCCACCGAGGTTGATGAAGACAAAATAAAGGCATTGATCGAGTCAAGCCCGCGTTACATGATACGAGAGATTGCAGAAACATTGAACATCCATCATTCAAGTGTTCACGACCACCTGGAGAAGCTGGGATACGTAAGCAAGCTCAATATTTGGCTTCCACATGAACTCAAAGAAGTTCATTTGATGGCGCCTATAAACATCTGCAATATGCTCATTAAACATGAGGAAAACTATCCTTTTTTGAAGCGACTGATAACTGGTATTGAGAAGTGGATTGTTTACAACAATGTGGTACACAAACGGTTTTGGTCCCGACATGATGATTCACCTCAAACGACATCGAAAGCAGACATTCATCAGAGGAAGGTTATGCTCTCAGTGTGGTGGGATTTTAAAGGTGTCCTGTTTTTCGAGCTCCTACCAAGGAACCAAACAATCAATTCGAATGTGTACTGTTAGCAATTGGACAGTTTGAATGAATCTATCATCCAGAAACGTCCAGAGCTTGTTAATTGTAAAGGAGTTGTGTTCCATCGTGACAATGCGAGACCACACACAAGTTTGATCACCTGTCAAAAATTATTGGAGCTTGGATGGGATGTGTTGCCACACCCACCATACTCGCCTGACCTTGCGCTGTCAGACTTCCACTTGTTTCGCTCTCTTCAAAACTCCTTGTGTGGTATAACATTCAATTCAGATGAGGTTGTAAATAAGCACCTTGTTCTGTTTTTCGCAAATAAAGACTGTTCCTTCTATGAATGAGGGATTATAAAGCTCACTGAAAGATGGCAAAAGGTTATCGAACAAAACGGGCAATATAGTATCATTGATTGATCTTTGTTCTTTATATAAATAAATGACCTTTGAAAAACATAGACAAAATACGTCATGACTTTTCCAACAACCCAATATTTAACCAGCTGTATGATGTACTCATCTACATGTACACTTGTATGTGAATATGCTAGAATACTTAGACATTTTTTGTTCTGAATGAATAAAAGATTAGTCCATATTGATTGATAATCTCTCTGATAAAACCATTTGCTGCTGGTTTAGCATCTTTTTAAAATTTTAACTTAAGTGTTTAAAGTTTTATTTTACTTAAGCAATTAAGAGAGTGTGAATTAGAGATGTCTGAATTAACTAAAGCAAATTGTACTGCATTTAATTTTTACAGTGATGCATTTGATATTTCCTGGAATGGCAGAACTGGGATTCGCCCGAGCAGACTATCAAGTAGCACCTCCTTGCTTGACAAAGATGGTATATTTGCTAATTCAGCTAGCAGCAAACTCTTGGAAAGAGCCCATGGAATACTCACGTAAGTATTAATCAGTAGTGTGGATTGCTTTTTATGACTTTTTTAAATCTTCTGGATGAAAAAAACGAAGAGGTGATGGTGATACTATTTCATGAGTGGAATTTGGAGTGCAACAAGATTCAAAAGTAGTCAGCATTTAGAGTTAGGAATCTCACACATTATTAAGCTGGTGGGGTTTTTGTTTGTTCTTTGTTTTCATCTTGCCAGGAGAATCATAATTCAGTATACTCAGTATAGAAATGACTCTTTGTTGCTCTTTTTTGGACCCTATATTCAGAGAGAGAAAAAAACTCTGACCTCTTTTTTGGATTCTAGGTCTTTAGCTGCAATTGTCCCTTGATTCTGGCAGTCCTAAAAAATTGGGCAGAAAATTCCCTATAAAATGGTGAATGGAGCCATATATAGTGATATATAAACACTCATCCGAGCCTGCCATTCTTCATTGCCTGGTCCTAGAACTGGTTTGAGGACATAGGTATAACCATGCATGGTGGACCAGTGAATAGTTCTTAGCTACCTCTATGAACATATTTCAGACACTTTCAAAAGCATAGTTTTTGACTGCTAGCTAGAGCTATGACTGACTGAATTGGATTCCTTAATCCCTGAAGTCATTGCTTAACTGTTAATAGGATCAATTTACGTAAGTCTTGCTATACTCCAGAATTGTGAATTAATTCATTTAATCCTCACAACTCTTGAGAGGTTGGTGGTATTATCATCCTCATTTTACATTATTACATAATGAAACCAAGGCTTCTACAGGTTAAAATCACTCCTTAATAGGTGGTAGAGCATAGATTCAAGCCCAGGTCTTTTGGCTCCCCAGCTCTCGTTCACTAAGTATTGGCCTTTATTCCCTTTCTTTCTGTAGCCATTATAAAAAGTCTTGACATAAGTATGATTTTGTGTTATGAATAATGAAAAAAGAGCAGAAGAGAGATTTTAATTTCTAAAAGTGGAAGATCTTAAGTTTTAGTGAAAAGTACATTTAAAAAATTCATGAAATTAAGCATCTATTTAAAGTCCTGAAATGAAAGAAATAAAACTTCATAGTGTAAAGAAATTAGGGGTCTATTAACATCCAAAAGAAAATGAAACTAGCTTTGAATGTACAGTGTTACATTACTATCATCAGGCTTAAGTCTGTTTACATTACAGGACAGGCATCTTTTTTCTTGCTCTCTTTTCCTTGCTTATTTTCTTTCCCAAAGGTTCCTGCTTAATTGAATTAAACTGTTTCTATATAGATGACCATATCTTGGAAATGGGTGTATAATTTGTTGTTTCAATAGAGACCTTGAAATCAGTCAGATTTACTCAGATCAGTAGTTTTTTCTAATGTGTGATTTGTCTCTTTAGGAGAAACAAAAACTTGAAATCCAAGCCTGGCCTTCCAAAGGTGGGTATTATGAAAAATCTTTTTTCCATTGGTGCCCTATTTCATAATTATTTTTTTTTACTCATGCAAACAATCTTTACAAATCTCAATGACAAGAAATACCTTGTTTATACCCAAATAGGGATTATGTACATTCACTTAAATATATTTCAGGAATAAGACTGGATGTTATAAAATGGCCAAGCGTAAGTGTTCAGGTAGATATTTATTTGTGATAGTCCCATTTTCTAGTGTTTGAAAAGCTTCTGAATCTAAATGTAAATTTTTGTTGAGTAATGCTTCTTTACATGGGATTTTTAAATTTCTTCTTGGGCCAGGTTAAGATCAAATTCTGAAGTTTACCTGATTTTTAAATAATTTCTTACTAGTGATTATCTGACATTCATCATCATTAGCACTACCGTGTTTCCCCGAAAATAAGACCAGGTCTTATATAAATTTTTGCTCTAACAATCTACGTTTATTCATTTATTCATGTACAAAAATTTACATTTATTCAAACAGTCATGTCTGGCTGACGATCTTAACTGGGGCTTATGTTTGGGGTAGGGTTTATATTACGAACATCCTGAAAAATCATGCTAGGGCTTATTTTCCAGTTAGGTCTTATTTTCAAGGAAACACAGTAGTTAGCCAAGTTTTTCTGTAAAGGTCCAGATATGCTTGTAGGCCTATGGTCTCTGTTGTAACTGATTAGCTCTGCTATTGTAGCATGAATGGAACTATAGAGAATACATAATTGAATGTGACGGTATTCCAATAAAACTTTATTTATGAACACTGAAGTTTGAATTTTATCTAATTTTTCTCATGCCATTACTATTTTGATTTTTTTCAACCATATAAAAACAGTGGGCAGGATTTGGCCCTTGAGCTGTAGTTAGCCTACTCTGATATACATTGTTAACGCAGAGAAGGCATTCCAAAAATATTTATTGAATTTACTAAAGAAAGAAAAATCTTACTGAGTGTTTCATTCTCTTTTACCCTCCTAAAGAAGGAAGTGTGTCATTCATAACCTTGCTAATGAATAATTCCAAAATTTTGAAAGAACTGAAAAGGAGCTATTTATTCTCACCATTTTCTAGTTTAAGAAACAAGAAAATGAATGTCTTTATTATTCCTTCTATCTAAGTCACCTTAGGTTTCCAAAGAAAATTTAATGCATTGCTGATGTGGTTTCTGGTAGTGGTTAACTATTGTTTAAAACAAAAGAAATTCATGTAAGTGGCTCGTAATGATGTTCTTATGAATAGATTTTTTTTTTTAAGATTTTATTGGGGAATTGGGGGAGGGGAACAGTGTTGGGGAACTGGGGAAGGGGACCAGCCAAGTTGTTGTTCTTCAGTCTTCGTTGTGGAGGGCGCCAGTCACCATCTGGCTTCCCGTCGGCAGCTCATGGCCTCTAAGTTCAAGTTGCAGTGTTCAGTCTTAGTTACAGGTGGGCATAGCCACCATCCCATGTGGGAGTCGAACCAGCAGCCTTGTTGTTAAGAGCGCACGCTCTATCCACTGAGCCATCTGGGCAGCAGCTCAGCTCAAGGTGCCGATTTCAGTCTTAATTGCGGGTGGGCATAGTGCACCATCGAACAGGCAATCTTGTTGTTACACCAGCTGAGCCATCTTGCCACCTGTTGGCAGCTCAGCTCTGGCGCAGCATCACTGGCCCATGTGGGAATCGAACTGGCGGCTTGCGCTCTTAAGCCAGCTCTTAATCAACTGAGCCACTTGGCTGGCCCTGAATAGATTTTATGTAGAAAAAAAGAGAAGACACCACAGTTGCTATCAAACATCTTTACCTGTTCATTTGCCTTTCTTTTTCCTTGACTCTTTTTAGTCTTTTAGTATTTAGAATGCCACATCTGGGATTTGTGCTGTTCCTTTCACTCTCCTCAAGTGGCTAACTTCTTAAACTTCATATGACAGCCAACATGAATATATTGGATACATCTGAAGTAATTCCATTCAGTCATTAATGACAGGAATCCCATCTGTTTCTCTTCCTTTTTAAATTAAATGTAGCTAATTTTTGTTTATTTTAGTGTGTTTTATAGATTCAAATACAATTTTATAGATTCCAGTACAGAACCCGAGATGCAAGAGAGTTTGGAAAAAGTAGTTTTTCTTTTTCGCTGGAAAGCATGTGCAGGAAAGCAGGAGGAGGGTAGAATGGATGTTGAATATCAATCTCCCATATTCACCACAGTCATACACAGGAAACAATGAAAACTGGCTTATAATTTTGTTTTTCCTAAAAATCAAATGAAGAATTTGATTTTTTTTCCCCTTTTTTTCAGCACTTATTAGAGGTAAATTCTTTAAAGCACCTGACAAGACTGACCCTACAGGATCGCATTACCAAGTCGCTTCTTCATTTGCACAAGAAGAAGAAACCTCCCAGCATCAGTGCCCAGTTTCAGGTTATTTCCTATATTACTTTTAACAAAGAGGAATCTGTTTGTTCAGATGAGCATTGAAAGGCCAGAATGATCTGCATGGCCTTTGAATGGCATGTGAGTCATGTGACTAAAAAGCCATGCCGTAATGGTCATTTTCTTTTTTCAGAAATAAACCTATTTCTGTGTATACCACTTGTTTTTGCATATTTTGCCAACATTACTGTTTATATTTATAAATCACTTGTTGCCAATTTGGAAGGGAAGAAAATACTGATTATATTGCCTTGTATTGCAGGCCTCATTAAACAAGCTGATGGAGACACTCGGTCAGGCAGAACCATATTTTGTCAAATGTATTCGCTCTAACGCAGAAAAGGTAAAGATGTCCTGTAAATGAGCGCTTTTAGCTGAGCTTACTTCAAACTGAGCTTTAAATTCAAATGAGATTAAATGGACCAGGAGAGTTATCTATAATCTTTCTAAGGAAAACCATGCTCTCTATTTTCTATGGCTATCTTTGTAATTTTTACACTTACCTGCCTGTGAGGTATTTATATGGTGTTGACTTAGCATTTCCTAGAATTTGAGAAGTAAATACCTCTGAAATTGCATCATAAAAAAGTTTTATGCAAGTTTTGTTATCCCAAGATTAATCTCTCTTGTTTGGCTATAACCATCACTTTTAAAGAAGTTGCTTGGCATTTTTCACGTTTAGAGATTCTTGTCTCTGTAAAATAGGGAAGATACTGTGGACAGCCTTGATTCCTTCCTGTTTTCCATGGCAGTTTCCCTAATTAGAGCTTTGCAAAATACATCTAATAAGTGTGAACGTTTGTCATCTTTCTTCATGTTCATCATGGGAGAAATTAGTTCCCAGACTGAACAGCTAAAATGTAGTAGGAGTTATGTTCAGCTTTCTTAATCCTTGAGAAGCAGGCTCGAACTCTGCTACTTGCAAGCTTTGTGACCTCAGACAAATTAACCTTTCTGTGTTTAAATATTTTCATCCATGTAAGAATACACTGTAATTACAGGGCCAACATCATAGTGTTTTGTGAGCATATGTGAATCAATACCGGTAACGTAGTTAGAATGTTCCTGGCCTGTGTTAAGTGGTTAGTAAACATTAGCTATTCTTTTCCAGTGACTAAAAAGGGAACCATTTTATTTATAGTTAAATAGAACTTTGAGTCCCTATTATTAATTGAGACCTTGCTGTGCAAAGAGTTCAATTAATGAAGTATTTCAGGGTACAGAATAAGTACTAAATAAATGTTAACTATTATTATTTAACGTAAGTTGCCCATCTGACATTTTTTCCTTGTCAGCTGGTATGCCCCATCTATCTGCAGGAAAATGTTTGGGATTGCCTTAAGGGATTATTGAAAATGGTATTTAGAGAATAGGGAGAAAGAGAAGAAGCTCCACATGCATCTTTTGAATGTCTAAAAGCATGCCTACTGAGATCCCTAGGAGTGACGGTATTCTGCCTACTTTGGAGTGAGTACCTCCCATTAGCTTCTTCCCTGTCATTGCCTACCTACACAGTGAGATCATCAATTGTCAGGGACCATAGGAATTTTTTGTTTTTCTGTGTGTCATTAACAAAAAGTATTTAGGAAATGAACTACCTTTAACCTTGTACTAGTCATTAGAAGAAGAATCTGTCAGCTCTCACTTAACCAAGGCAATTGGTAGAATGGGGCAGGTGGTTTCTGAGTGAGATTGTAGATAAAATCTTAATTAAAAATACAGACACTCTTGACTATATATAAGTAGGCTAATCTTGTTACATATTCTATAATGTGGCTTCCTCTGTGGGCAACTACATTCCTTTGGAGCTTTGAAGGTTCTCTCCCACTGTGACTGGAGAAGCCTGGAAGCTTGGTTTCTCTTTTCCGTAGCGTCAAGCAGTCAGAACTTTTCTGAAGCTACCAGCTGGGGAAGTAAGAGTGTCCTGTCACTTCTACTATGTCTGTACCAGACAACTTTCAGTCACTTCCTAGATATACAGAAGTTAACCATACTTATAGGGCAAACATTAAATTGGACCTCTGTTCTCCTAGGTTACTGTTTCTCTGTTTGCTTTGTTTTAGCTACCTTTGAGGTTCAGTGATGCCTTGGTGCTTCGACAGCTTCGGTACACCGGGATGCTGGAGACAGTGCGAATTCGCCAGTCAGGATACAGTTGCAAATACTCTTTCCAGGTTATACTTTTTAGTGATCTTTGAATATATATGCACACCAAGTAAATTATTCCTGTCTTGCTTATTTTTTATTTGGGGCTCATTTGTTTATTTCTCTTAATTCTTCCTTCCAATTCCATCTTTTGTATACAGAATTAAAGAGGTTGAGAGTACTCATTTCCATGGAATGGCAGCAACCTCATTAGCTTTGTTGTAATAGAACCAGTACTTGAATATTCTCATTTGATCTGAATGTTTACTAATACTAAGTTTACTCATAACGTAGCAATTCCTTACATTGATTATTCTAGTAATTGAAATCGTTGAATCGGGATTTTTTAGTTCAAAAGAAAAGATCCCATTTGATTTTTGCTAAAGATTTCTCAGCAGGATTTTCTTTCACAGAAAGATGCCAGCAAGGCTCCTAGTCATTGTCATCAGCTTCTGCTGCTGTGGGTCTAGAAATGATACTTAAACTTTTCAGCAGCTAAACAAGTCTTTGCTGTTACCAGGCAGGAAAGCTTCGTCCTCAGTTATACCCTGTATGGCTGCCGCCTTTGCTTATGTTTCTGCTAAAAATTTGTGATTCTCGTTAAATTAAGCACATACAGCTCTCTCAAAAGGGATAATTAGTTTCTGTCCTTTTTTCTTCTCTATTTCCCTTCGATAATACTATGTAGAATTCGACCCTTCCCTTTTTACAAATTAACGTTTTGTAATATTTTAAGTTAACAAGTACTTTCTTGGTTTTGCCCTGTTTAAAAGAATAAGAAAAGGATCAATAAAAGGACAGTTAGCTAAATTTAGGATCTTGTATACATATCATTCTCTAGTGATTTTATAACATTTTCTTTTCATGTTTTAGGATTTTGTGAGCCACTTCCATGTACTTCTTCCTCGAAATATTATTCCATCCAAATTGAACATTCACAATTTCTTCAGGAAAATAAATCTTAATCCAAATAATTACCAAGTTGGAAAATCCATGGTAAGTATATTTACAGCCCTTGTCAAAATTGACTGTATTTTTTTTTTTTTTAAGATTTTATTGGGGAATTGGGGAAGGGAAACAGACAAGTTGCTGTCCTTTTGTTCTTCAGTCTAGTTGTGGAGGGCGTTGCTTCACTGGCCCATGTTGGTATTATCATTGCCCTCTTCCCAGGTGAGGCAGTCGCTTGCTAGCTATTGGACGGCCGCTCATGATGGTGCACGGCAGCTTACGCCAGCTGCCGGCTGTTCACACTGGTTACCAGCCACTCACGGTAGCTCATGGCAGCCCACTGCAGCAGGGGCTGCAGCCTATGCTGACGCCGGCGACTCAACAGCAGCCCAGCTCCAGGTCGAGCTGTTGTTCACCATCTTAGCTGTAGAGGGCGCAGCGTCACTGGCCCTCATGTGGGATCTGAACTGGGGTCCTGCTGTTCAGAGCTGGAGTCCCAAGCTAACTTTTAACCAACGTGCCACTCGGCTGGCCCAAAATTGAGTGTATTTTTGTGTTTAAATAATAATGACAATTTTAGTCTATGAGAATGTTTCATAACAAAACATAGTATAGCAGATGTCATGAAGAAATTAATTAGGCCAAGAAATTTTACTTAATAGTATAGTCAATATTAATTAAAGAGCTTCTGGCTGATTCTCTAGTTCTGCCTATAATTTTAACTCCCTAAAAATCATCTCTCTCTTGTGGTCTGTAATGTCCAACTCTCCTTGCCCAAAGTCACCTTATCCTGATTCCCCTACTGTCCTTAATTTGTGAACTACTCTTTCTGTCATCCTTTTAACATCTTAGGCTGAAAACCATAATCTTATTTGTTTTACCCTTCACTTTAATCCTTTACAAAGTTCGGTTGTTGTTTTTTTTCCCTCACAAATGATTGTCACATCTCTTCCTTTTTTCTCCACTTACACTGCTTCCATATTATTTCTTTTTCTTTAGCTGTCACTAATATTTCTTTGACAGTAAACAGATCCCTTATCTGGTTGCAGTCTATTTGTTATTCCATGTAACTCACTCTACCCATAGTATCAAAATCATCTTAATATACTTTTTTCTTTGTGTTAGCTTTCTGCTCAGTAGTAGTCTCCTGACAACCTCCTCATTAAATTCAAACGTCTTTCTCTTTTTCAAGAACCTCCATATTGTGATTTTACACTATTTAATATCTTCATTATGAAGATTGTGTCACTGTCCCCCATATGTGCCTTTTCATTATTTCCAACTCCATGTTTTGCTCAGATGGGGTCCTCTGTCTCATGTGTGTTTTAGTTTACTGTTTTCCTCTTTGTATGTCTAGTATCTATGTGGTCTTCTTAAAAAAAATTTTTTTTTTGACAAAAATGGGAGATGATGGATATGTTAATTAGTTTGACTGTGGAAACCATTTCACAATGTATACATACATTAAAATATCACATTGTATGCCTTAAATATATACAATTTTTAATACTGACCTGCTCTTAAAGATGAGTGCAAATCCTGTTTCCTAAGGGATTGTGTCTAAGTTATCTTTGTATCCCCCTAAATCCCTAAAGTTTTTTTAATGGAACGAAGTTAGAGTAAGTAAACTGATTAATGGCTCGGCGCAGCAACAAGCCTTTGATGCATACTGGGTTTCAAAAAGACTCATTATTGGTTTATTCGTGTTGTGATCAAACTTGAAGATCTATGGTTCTCAACTCTTTTCCCCTTCCCAACATCCTTGAAAAATACAACATGCTACCCGTAGCACCTAGGCTCATGATAGTGGTAAATTTCCAAAGGGAAGGGAATAATGTATCGATTTGGTCTCTGGCACTAGGATTTTTGTACTTATTCTTACATCCCATTTTCCCTTTTGTGTTCCAATGTCTCCTTTCCAATTTGAGAATGACTACTTTGGATAAATCGGCAGATATATTTATTGGTACTGCTTTTACACATCTGCCACTGTATTTGTTCTTGTCTAAAACTTATCACAGAAGGGATAATTCATGAAATAAAATTTTCACTTTTTCTTACATTGCATTCCTTACCTTTCTTCCTCCTGGTAGGTATTCCTGAAAGAGCAGGAGCGGCAGCACTTGCAGGACCTGCTTCACCAGGAGGTGCTCCGCAGAATCGTGCTGTTGCAGCGATGGTTCCGGGCCCTGCTGTGCAGGCAGCACTTTCTCCGCCTGAGACAGGCGTCTGTTATTATCCAGGTGGGGAGCAAGCAATGCCTTGCATGAGATTGGCTAGTTTATTTGGCCTTTGTTTTAGTAACCAGAACTGTTTTGCTGTGAAACATAAATAAAATGTAAACTTACTTAGAGATGAAGAATGTGTCCTACTCATTTTTGAAATGTTGATAGCACCCAGCAGATTACCTGGCATGTAATAATAGACTGTTGATGGAGCTGAATTTAAAGTAAATTGAATTTATAGCTATAAGTGCTTGTGAGTTATGATTAGGGGCAAAGAAGTTATGTGCCTAATTTTTATTGACATAGTTATTTTTTTTAATAGTTTTCTGAGTGATATTTGAGAGTTATACATGCATTGTTATTGTGTACTCATCTTGGATTATAGTTACCTTATTGGTAACTATACATTTATTTGGTTTTATTGTCTCCCTCATTGATTTATATGATGGCTGTTTCCTTATCTATTTGTACTGGAAAATCTTTCATATCTTAAACTTTGAAATTTGTGCATGTTGACCTTAAACCCATTAATATTGGCAAATTGTAGCATGAGAATATAATGTAATTTGTTCAAATTAATTTGTAGGGCATGAAAGCATCAAAAAATTTTAAATTATTTTAAGTTCTATAATTAACTTTATCAAGGTTATATTATCTAAAATAGTTGTTTTAACCAAGCAGATCTAGAAAACTTTTTTAATCACCCACAATATAGCTGTTTAGCTACTTACTTTCTAATTCTGATACAAGAAAATTTCTTCTTTATTCCTGTTTCTGTGAAAATGTGGTATAAGAGATGACAACAGTTTCTATTATTTTATCTTTCCCCACAGCAATTCTGGAGGAATTACCAGAAGCGAGTCAGACATGCATCTGTGCAGCAGGATGCTTTGGTTAAGACCAGTGCAGCTACTCTTCTCCAAGCTTCCTGGCGTGCTCATGTAGAGAGGCAGCGGTATTGGGAGCTGCGGACTGCAGCCATCATCATTCAGCAGAGATGGAGGGAGCACTGTAGGCGGAGGCACATGGCTGCCATCTGCATACAGGCAAGATGGAAAAGCTACAGGGAAAGTAAGAGGTATCAAGAGCAAAGAAACAAAATTATCTTTTTGCAGTCAATATGTAGAGGATTCAGAGCAAGACAAAGGTAATCTTTGTTGTCATAATAATTACTTCTTCTTTCTTCCTAAAAATGTTGTTTATACCTCTGCTCTAACACTTGCCTAACTTGTATTAGAATTGGTTTATGTACAATTTGTCTTCTCCACTAAACTGTGATACTCCTAGCAGTTTTAACCCACATTGTGTGGTCTATAATAGAAGCTAAATTGGATTGAAAACCTACATGGCCTGTGGTTGTAACTGCTAAGAGTCAACTTTTATATTAGGAGGAGTCTTTTAAAAATGTCCATATTGAACTGTTTTTACCTTTAGAAACTTTAATTTCCTTTTTTAAGAGTTACCTTAAAATAAGGGTATTATTAAATGAGAGCTTTACTTTTTTTGATTTAATTTATTCTTAGTAGAATGCCCAATTAGGAACAGGGCACTTAATGAAATATAATCTCACTCATGGAGTAGAACTATGAAATGTGCATCCAAGTTAGTTTGAGAAATACTTAGGTATTATAAAAAGAAAATTTTGAGACTTTCCTTTTTTTTTTAAAATTCTCAGTAAATGTATTCTCTCCAGAGGCATCCAAGAGATATCTCTAACCTACTTTTTTTCTATTTTTATGTAGATTTAAAGCTTTAAAAGAACAAAGACTAAAAGAAACAAAACTAGAACTTGGGTTGATGAATACTGAGCCCTATGGAGCTCTGAAAATTCAGGGTTCAGACCCATCAGAATGGGAGGACTGTTCCTTTGACAACAGAGTAAAAGCCATAGAGGAATGTAAATCTGTGGTAGAGAGTAATCGAATTAGTTCAGTGGACTGCGTGAAGGACTCCCCAAAAAAGCGACAGGAGAGAGCCAGGAGCCACAGTGGTGTGGACTTGCAGGAAGATGTGATTGTAAGAGAGAGACCCAAGTCCTTGGAGGATCTCCACCAGAAGAAAGTAGGCCGGGCCAAAAGAGAAAGTCGGAGAATGAGAGAACTAGAACAAGCTATATTTAGCTTGGAACTGCTGAAAGTCCGTTCTCTTGGTGGTGTGTCTCCTTCAGAAGAACGTAGGTGGTCTACAGAACTGATGCCCGAGGGCCTTCAGTCTCTGCAAGGTACACCTGACAGTGAAAGCTCTCAAGGAAGCTTGGAACTTTTGAGCTGTGAGGAAAGCCAAACGAGCAAACGAGAGTCCTTAATTTTGGGTGAAGGAGACTTGCAGTTTCTGTCCCCTAAGACATCTAGCAGTCCAAAACCTGATTCACAGGGCAGTGCCCTCAGTGCCTCACGTGAGACTGACTATTTACTGATTCCAAAGGGGGCACCCTCGGACTCAGTGCACTTGAAGAATGGGACTGCAAAGGAAAACCAGGTCTGCAGCTCTGAATCTATTTCATGTAAGCCGCAGCTGAGAGATTCCTTTATTTCAAATAGCCTGCCTACATTTTTTTATATTCCCCAACAAGACCCACTGAAAACTAATTCCCGACTAGACACAAGTATCCAGAGAAACAAACTAACGGAAAGTGAAGAAACCCTTCCAGCTCTTACTTTGGATAGCAACAGGGAAGCCAGAAAGTATCATTTTTCAGGAGAAAATCAAGGTGTTGCTTCTTTGAATACAGATTCTTCTAATACTGTGCTGAAGAAGTTAGAAAAGCTAAACACTGAGAAGGAAGTAAGGCAAAAGCAGTTGCAGCGGCAGAATGAAAAAGACATGATGGAACAGATTCGTCAGCAAACAGATATTTTAGAGAGGGAGCGTAAAGCCTTCAAGACAATTGAAAAGCCAAGAAGTGGGGAGTCTTTCACGGTAACATCTTTCCATCAATCAAAGCAAAGAGTAGAGAGGCCATCCTCTGCCATCCTGAATAAAGAACCCAGTGTACCAGGGCCTCCATCAGTAACTGTAAAAGATGCAGCTCTTGCTCCAAAAGACAGCCCCTCTGTTCACTTACCCCCAAGAAACCGACCCGTCACCCTGTTCTTTGAAAGAAAAGGAGGCCCATGCCAGTCTAGTACTGTCAGTGAACTATCCAAGACAGACAGAATGCGCACCCAAGCGAATGTAACCTGTAAACTCTCTAATAATCGCATTTCAAAAAGAGAACAATTTAGGCCAACTCAGTCTTATGGCCACACAACTAATGACTCTTCCAGAGATGGAACCACTAGGGCCATTTTCTTCACGCCAAAGGAAAATATGAGTATTTCCCTGTAAGTGAAATGTTTGTTTACTTTTACGTATAAATGGGAAACTTTTTGGAGAATTTTACAGGCACACCTCAGAGATACTGCGGGTTTGGTTCCAGACCACCGCAATAAAGCGAGTATCACAATAAATAGTGAGTCATAATCTTTTTGCTGGTGGAGGGTCTTGCCTTCAATTTTTGAAAATCGCAACATCTGTGAAGTGCAATAAAACCAGATATGCCTGTATTAAGGTGCCTTGATCTGCCTCAGCTGTTTGTATGGGTGCTAATCAAATTAGCCATTTTCTCTGGGTCAAAAAATTCCCTAATTGTTGATGCCACCAGTCACCTGAAATTGGATAGAATATAGCCTAGGAGTCTTTACCTGAGCCCAGATACAGATTTTTTGGTTCCTCCCCATTGAGTGCGAGAGCATTTGTGAAGGTCAATAGAGTGCCTGGAAACGTAGGCGTCCAGCCAATGCTGGGTGCCCTATGCTGGTAGGTGTAGCCAGGTGTTGCCAACTTGTTAGAGTCAGGCTGAAAGTTAATGTGCTTTGTCACTCTGTCGGCCGACTTTTGTTCTTCATTAAGTTCTTTATACTTTCTTTGTGGTAAAAAACAAATAACATAAAATTGACCATCTTAACTATTTTTAAGTGTACAGTATAGTAGTGTTAACTGGCAGCACACTGTTGTGTAACAGATCTCTAGAAAGTTCTCATCTTGCACAAACTCTTATTATTACCCATGGAACAACTCCCTCCTCGCTATTACCCCAAGCCCCTGAAAGCCACCATTCTCCTTTTTGTTTCTGAGTTTGACTTCGTTAGATACCTTATATAAGTGGGCGTTCTTTTAAGTTTTATAGTTTTATACTTTTATAGTTCTTATACTTTGTAAATTTTCTTAACTAGTGGTAGCCACGAGAAAATCATTTTTTTAAGTGGTAAATAAAAACAAATTTGATGACACTTAAGACATTTGTATTAAGTCATTGTGTACAGTGGATTTTTTCAGCTATTGTGGGAGGATATCACTTTAAATGAAATAAGGGCTGTATCTTAGGGCTAAAAAATAGAATTTCATATTGACTATGAAAATAACTTTTTCTCTCTTATCATAGCCTGAGCTTTTAAATCTTAAGTCTTTAGAATTGCATACAGGTTTTATAGAAACCCTTTGTAAATGCGGGTGAGAGATCATTGATATTTTATTTTTCCACTATGAAATCTAGTTGGACTAAATGACAGTTTGAGGTCTTATTCCTGCCCATTAGCCTAGAAATTGCCCAGAAATTCAAAGACTCCGTGTGGCATATAAGCCCATCAGAGTGTTAAAAACAGTATTATTTCCTGTCACTCTGATTAAATGTAGTGTTGTGAGGTGTGTGTGTGTGTGTCTGTGTGTGTGTAATGTTGTTGGATCCATGATTCTGTTTTATAGAGGGCTTACTTGTAGATTTTATAAAACAAAACAAAACAAAACAAAAAAAACCCCACTATTCATCCTTGTGAATTGAATTACTTCTACCATTTTCCCAAAGTAAACAAGTCTACTTGATCTAGTTTGCTTTGCCTCATTAAGATCTACTTGTCTTCAAAATGATTATATATAAGGTTGTTTATGTGAAGGCTTAAGTAAAAAATTCATACTTCAAGTCTTCTCTTGTTCTGTAATTAATACTAGAAACCTTAGTGTTTTATAGAATCATAAATGTTGGTGTTACTAAATTAATCTAGTTCTCACATATTATACATGAGCTCACTGGTGTTCCTAGAGGTGTAATGACTTGTTTGAGGTCACATATTTAGAGAAATAGCTGGAACTAGAACTTGACTTTCATGATTAGGAAGTATCACTAGATTAGCTTTCTTTCTATGCTGTGGTGGTGATCAGTACCTAGTGGTCTTCATCTGGTTTACGAGGAAGAACAAAAAAGAAATCATGGAGAAAGCAAAAGAAAATGCTGTGAATTTGAAAGTTAGGGTGGTCAGATGCTATGAAAGGCCTTATTGTTGCTCTCTTTGGAGAACAAATCAAAGGCCAGTAGGCTCCACTGGGGCAAGAGAGATTTTAATGGCCAAAAAGGAATCTTTTCAGACAAGCTAGGATGCCTAGGTTTGATCCTACACTGGTTAAAAAGGGAGATTGCTGAGCTGGCTGCCGTTAGCTAGGAAAGCTTGTCATCTATTGGGTTGTTGGAAAAGTCATGACATTTTTTCTATGTTTTTTGTTGCAAAAAACGTGTCATGACTTTTCCGACAACCCAATAGTTAGGTTTGTTTAGGGCTTACTGCCTAGGGCAAAGGACTAGATAACCTCTTACAGCCTCTAGGCCTTCATTTATAAAAATTAAATGGAAGATTTTGAGTGGAAGAGCACTTAGTCTGCCAGATCATAAGTTAATGTCTACTTTAAACCTAGCACTATGCTAGAAGGTAAGATAAGATTCTCAATGGGTTTACAGTCCTGCTAAGGAGAGATTAGCAACATCTTGTTGATCAATTTTAAGACTCATGTTACTGAGTTAATATACATAATGGAGCCATGAAAGTGCAGGTTCTATTCAGGTTTTCATCAGACACTGACATCCATTTCTACACAAAATTTAATGACAAAGCAGTCACATCGTGGTTATTCAAGGAAAATTAAATTTTTGTAAGCTAACATTATACCATCTGTATGGTTTTGGGCTTACTTCTTTTAGCTTGATAACAATTTCTTATCCTGCGAATGTTGATTTTATTCTGTACTAACTGCCTTCTTTTTTGTAAATATAATCTGGGTTTTTAGGCACCATTCCCTGCCTGAAGTACACCTCCTTAAGTGTAAGACCAGTCTCCCTTTTGAACCAGTGTAGGATCAAGCCTAGCCATCCTAGCTTGTCCCAAAAGATTCCCTTTGGCCATTAAAATCTCCCTTGCCACAGTTGAGCCTGTTGGCCTTTGATTTGTTCTCCAAAGAGAGAAACAAGTTTAAAACTAAGACAATAGATGAAAGCTCCAGAAAGGTTACAGGAAGAAAATTTGTTAACCAGTAAGGAACCATCTTAATATACAACAAAGGAATGAGGTCATCATCACTGGGTGACTACTTACCAGGTATTTTATGATTTGGAATAAAAGACCTAAGATTAATTCTCAAGATTTGGAGATTTGGTTGTTTCCTTTCTCATCATTAAATCCATTTCATTTCTTGAGCTAATTCTGCTGCTACTATTCTTAAACATATGTCATCATAATGGAATATACCCAGTGATTACCAGGGCAGGGCCTCTAGTAATTCATTCATACATGTAAATTCTTGATAATAGTATAAATTAGGCAGAAAAATTGTGATATATTGTTTTAGGAATTGAAAAAGATCTGGAACTATTTATGGAATTTGCTGGAATTCTTTGACCTGGCTTGTTAGACTATATTTCATGCTATACTTGAAAACTCCTGCCATGGGATATGTACTGGGAATTGAAATGTAATCTGTTTTGTTTTTTCTTTTGTATTCTAAGTGTCAACAAGGAATCCTTAAACAGTGGAAATTCTCAACTCCATAAACAAGATGAACCAACCTGGAAACCTATGAAATTAACGGGGCCGGGCCAAGGACAGGTGAGTACTAAATTTTGTTTATCTATCTTCCTTGCAAAATAGATGCACACTACTCTGGAAATTATTATTCTTGTAGGTAGAGCATCTCATTTACTCCCAAGAGTTTATAGAGAAAGAAGCCATGAGTTAGGTCTTATACTTAAGGAGGTGTACTTCAGGCAGGGAACGGTGCCTAAAAACCCAGATTATATTTACAAACGAAGAAGTTACTGAGAAAAAGAAGGCTATTTATGCAAGTGACTTTGGTGACTGATTATGGCAGCAAAAGATGGCTTCCTTGGCTCTGGAGAACAGTGTAGATATAGTTTCCATTCTCCTCTTTTGTCCAGAGTAATGCATATGGATTGGTTGTGGTCATCTCCGTCACATCTAGTGGAAAGGTCATGGTGGGGTGGAGGGGTGTTTCCAAGAAATTCATGAGCTCTCTGATGTCTTTCATTGGCATCATCTCCAAAACACCCAAAACAAAACATTGTTGTGTCATTTGTTTTATCATTTGGTCAAGCAGGTTGCCAGACCGGCCCATAAAAAGAAAGCTCGAATGGCGCGGACGCGCTCCGATTTCTTGACTAGAGGTACTTTGGCCGATGGGGAGGGGGAAACAGAGGAAGATGATTACGATGACAATGTTGAGCCCCTTCTGTCCCTTGAGCAGCCTCCTCACTCTGAGCGAGGGCCTGCACCCAGCCTGGGCCAGGCCTCTCACAGTGACTCCGAAATGGTAATTGTACAGCAATATAAGAAAACAGGCAATGAGCAAGTCTGATGGGAGTAGTCTGCTAATCTACAGCTAACCTTCACAGCTTCTTCCCATGTAATGGTTTGTCCATGGGAAACCTCAGTGAACACAGCAAGTAGGGAACTTTTATTTTAATAGGAGTCACTGCATTAACAGTGTCTGTCATGTCATAAACCAGGCAGCATCAGGGTGAATGTAGCACCTATGTAGAAATTCTCTATTGTGTCTTAAAAGGTCCAGAGCAGCGGCTCTCCAATTTTTTTTCTGTAAAGGGCTAGATAACAAACCTGTTAGACTTTGTGGGTCATACAGTCTCTGTTACAACTACTTAACTCTGCCACTGTGGAGTGAACACAGCCCCAGATGTAAGCAAATTGGCATGGCTGTGTTCCAGTAAAGCTGTTTACAAAACGGGCAGGGGGCTGTGTTTGACCTGCTGGTTCTAGTTTGCTGATCCCACCTGGTCTGGTGAGTAGGGTATGTGATAAACAATAAATTAAAATAGCTTATAATTAAAATGATATTCTCTTTTTTTTTTTTGGCCTTTAAACGTGCTTCCCCTCCCTCATTTTTTGGTAATAGAAAATAAACATGAATTTTTTAAAATTTAGTGAGCAATGCCAAAAATGTCCCCCTGGACCAACCCAGCCAAGTAGAAGGCTGTATATAGTGTGAGTTTTGTATTAGTCACAAATTATAGTGTTGGAGTTAGGTTTTTTTATAAAGCTGCACTATTTTGACCAAGAAAATAACTGTGTTATATCTCAACCAAAATTAAGTATATTTGTATTTGTGGATATAAAGTGTTTCATTTTGGAATTGTCCTGGAAAACACGCAATAGAGGAAGGACCCTGTATACCTAATATATACTAAAACATTATTGCTGATAAAGTGGAGTGATATGCATTTTATTTCCTTGCATATCCTTAATTAAGTTGGCTCTCTAATGTTCTTCTTTAGCATCTGTTCAGTATGGGAAGAAATTTTAGGGTGGCCTTCTTTTGACTCATTAAATATTTTATCTTTGAACTGTTTTCTGCTGTTTGTGCCAAAGATCTAGTTAAAATTTTTTGCTCATTTTGAGAATACCCTTATTGTCTTTATCTTTTGTTGGAGACAGACTTAGTTTTTAAATGATAATATTGATAGTCTAAGAAAGAAAAAACAACAGAAAAGTGCATGACCAGTTCTCTGATTAGATAAATGAGTCATTACCCTGAGCCAAACTGTAGAATTGTGAAAGTTGGAAACAATCTGTATATCCATTGATATGTATAAGTAAAGCCAAAGCCCTCTCTCTTCAGTATAGGATAAAATAACTCCATTTTGTGGGTGCCCTGTTTTTGAGTACAAATATCAAAACTATTATCATATGATTGGTATTTAAAGATGAAATTATGTCATGAGGCAAACTAATTTTAATGAAAAGTACTGCTTACATTTTTTTTAATGTAAATAGGGAGCATACTTAATTTATTTTCTAAAGCATACAGAGCATTTTCATTTGTGGAAGAACTTAGCATTTTGCTGTTTTGTTCCTGAGTGTTTCCTTTGTCACAAACCGTAGTCCTTTCGATGGTAGAATTCTTTCTCACTGAGACCTCTTACTCAGATGAACTAGGAAGTTGGGCTTTCTGCTCGCTGGGAGCCTTCTGCCCCTTGACGGGTGCTAGCTGGTAGCCTCTGCCTGTGGTTCTGTTCACCTGCTTGACGGTCACTGCATGCCAGTAGTTGTAGTGCCCTGCACAGCGTGTCAGTCACCTCGCCAACTTTCTCACTATTCTTCGGTTTCATCACTAGCTATTTTAAGAGCAGGTAGGTGGTGGTGGTTGTTTCTGATGGACACTTGCATGAAGGAGCTTTGCTTTCTAGAATATGCTGATGGATACTTATTGGGGTTGGGGGTGGGAAGGGTAGGAACAATTTTAAAGTGTGTTTCTGTTTGTTTAACTTGAAAATATGCCATGTTCTAATGTTACCTGATACTGTCAAGATGAAGATTAATTGTTTCTAACTGGAATCTGGAATCTACTGAGTTCTCAAAATCGAGATAACTGCAGGATTTTAAATGGGCTTGAATTTCTAGGCACATGGATTTTTAAAACCTGGGGAGTTGTTTTTTTTTCTTTCCCCTGGACAAAGTGATCCTTTCATTGACATTTGCCAAGAAATGTGTCATCCAGTCTTGGAAGAAATATGTAATGGGACAAAGAGAGTTCTAAGTGAATTAAATGAATTACCTGAAGGGGATTTGATAACTATTCCCCCTGAGTTGATGAGTTGTTAATCACTTGTTAACCAGGACAACAGTGGTAGTTTTCCACATTAAGACCTTGGTGCTTTTTAAAAAGTTTTCTACTTTAACTCTGCCTTTTGAGTAACTGTTTAGTTTCTGTATGCTGCTGTCACTCAGTTCTTATACCCATGCTGTTGCTTTTACCCAAAGATGACATGTTCTGCTAAGCAGCATTTTTAAGGTGGCTTTCATATAGTATTTTAGTCTCTCAATCTTCTGAATGGTGAGTTAGTAAAATCATCCCTATCCCGTTTTTGTAGGCTTGGTATAGGTAACAATATCATTTTCTCTGCCTAGTTTCTTCTAGCATTCCCCACTCATTTCTCTCCCAAATAGCTCACCAGAATTTGTCTTCTTTATCTCCAATAGAGATTAAACAAATTTTCTCATTTCCCCCACAAAACTGTGGTCACTTCTTATTTCTGTTTCTTACTCTCTGAGGTACTCTCCAATCCTTATCTGTGTTGAATTTTCCTTCTTTCCACTGTCCTCTCCACCC